TAAGAATAACTTGCTGCCAAAAGTTTTTTCTGATATTTTTACATCGGTTTTTTCACAAAAATACAAACTTTGGTCAAATACTAACTAATTCGATTTTCTGTAATTAATTTTATTTGTAAATATTTCAAATTATTTTTATGATTTTTAAATAAACTTCTATATCACAAATCATAACAAATTTATTTTTCTATTACATTTGCCCATTTAAAACTTCTTCACTTTCAAACTCGCTGAGAACTTCCTTTAAAATGTAGCCATTTTTATCGTTTGTATCCATCAAAACACTATTATATGAAAACTAATTTTTTTACGCATTTGTTTGTCAAGAGATTTCTCAAATGAATGAATAAATCAAAAAATCGACCAAGTTCTCTCTGCTTTAGCTGACGAACAAATCATTTCAAATAGATTTTGCAACTTCAAAGACTAGACGGTTTTCATATAATAGGGGAGAGTGAGTAGAAGTCGGACAGCCTGAAATTTCTTATTAGCCTAAATTTTGTTATTTAATGTAAAAAATTAAATTTAATCCTCTCTATTTAGCATAAATTGCTTTGTTTCCTCGCGTGCGCTAGAAGCCAAAATTTTGAAATGTACCTTAAAAAGTGTTTACATTGGGATAAAGTGGAACAGATAAAAGAAATATTTATGCTCGTCGTCATTTCATTATTTTGATTGGTGAAAGCTCTTGAAGAATTTTATATCAATTAGGTAATTTTATGGTATTATCAGTTTCTATTTAATAATTTGTGTTAAAATGTTGTTTTAAATTTATTTATCCCACTTCTGCTCACACTTGTCCCGCTTTACCTATATGGCACGGTTTCTCTAAAAGCAAAAATTTTTATACTTAGTTTTAATTGGCTGGAAACCTAAGGGAATTGAATCGGTGCTTAAAAAGAAGGTTTATTTGTAAAAACTTGTTTGGTTCAGTTTATACATCAAGTAAAAAATGATATTTTAATTACCTTAAAAAAAAATTGACGTGTCCCACTTCTCCCCACTCTCCCCTACCTACCAATAGTGTTTTGATACAAACGACAAAAATGACTACATTTTAGAGGAAGTAGCAGTTCTTAAACTAAAAATTCAGTTTAAATTAAAGCACTTTTAAAATTAACAACTTAAGATTATGAATTATAAAAGTTAATTAATAAATTAATTAAAGAGATTTAATAGTGGAATTAAATGTTGTTAAATTTTTGTTCCATTATTAAAATTAGCGATTTTTTCGCTTCAAAAGCACATTAATTAAAAATTTCATGAAAACGCGAACTAAAATTCGTTTTTTGGTCAGCCTGTCTAGTTTAAACAATTTAACGATTTTTAATGACTTAATGAAAAATTTAATGAAAACTAGAATTAGAATTCGTTTTTTGGTTTAAAACAATTTAACGATTTTAACAATTTAATGATTTGAAATTGAAAAAAAGTTATGCGCATAAGTATGCACATAATTAAGCGAATATATGCGCACAATTTATCGGCGAACATCTTCGCATACAAATTTTTCAGAAATCTAAATGATTCTCTTTCTTCTGTTTTCTTTTTTTTGCTTTTTTTTTTTTAAATATTGTTATTTATTCTAGTTTTTTTTTAATTTTTTGACCAGTGATCAAAAAATTCATTGCGATCGGATTGACCCGCTTTTATTCTGCTATCTTAGCAAGATAGAAAATGTTTTCATTGGTCAACATTACATAGATTTAGGCATATTAAACATAAACATAGCAACTAAATTAGTTCATTTTTATTTTATTTTAATTTTGTTACAGTATCGGACAAATCATGGTGGACAAACTCAAATTTAAAACAAAAGTTGATCATAAACGGAAAAAAAGTAGTAAAACAATTGAACATATTAATTTTTAAGTTGTTTATTATGTTGTTAACAAAATGTAAAACTTTTGAATCATACTAAAAATCACCAAAAAATTTTTTAATACATTTTCCATAAAAAACTACATTTTTCTTTGAACAAAGCAAGGTGGAAATTCAAAAGGTTTCAAAAATTAGCTTTTTGTTTTTTGAAAAACTTCAAAAATTAACTTTATATTTGTTCGGACCTCCTTTACTTTCAATTAGGGGAAAGCGGGGCAACATGGCGATTTGGGCAAGATGGGTTTTAATATAACAACTCAACAAAAAATCTCAAAATTGGGTGAAAACGAAATTGTATTTGCATTTTGTATTTTAAAACACCAATTTGTTTTTTAAAATATAATTAACGCAATTTTATACGCATAACTTATGCGTAAAGTAAATTTATGCCATAAGTTTACTTTTGCGCTTAAAAAAAAATTCCTCACTTTCGCTTTCTCATAATGGGTGCTTTTCTTCAAGTTTAACTTCTTTAGAAATAGTTTTTGGCGATTTGTGTTTATTTTGTGTTACTTTAGTTAGAGTTATTGGTATTTTTTAAAATTCTATAAAATTGGAGGTAAAAATTGCATAATAACTCATCTTGCCCCGGTCACGTGACAAGATGACAAATTTATGAACTTTTTATTTTTATATTTATTTCAAATTGTTATATTTGCAAATGGAAAATTCATGAAGGTAATGAATCATTTCAATAACATAAACATACTCAGAAAGTATTATTGTTTCATTACTGATAGTTTTGCAATAACTCAGGGCTTTCCAAACGTTCGCCATGTTGCCCCGCTTTCCCCAACTGCTTTCATTCTTCGAGGCTTAGACTCAATTAATGAGTCAACAATTCTCATATCAATCTTTCGCCAGGCCTTCTCAATTTGTTCAAATAATTCCTCACTGGTCTTTGCATTTGCACGCTCTACCTTATTGTCAATTATTTCCTAGGGATTCAAGTCAGGGCTTTGTGCAGGCCACTCCATTACGGTGATATTCTTGTCCTTGAACCGTTGTTTTACAATTTTTGACGTATGCTTAAGGTCATTGTCCTGTTGAAAAATTCATTTTAGGGGCATCTTTCAGTCAGCATGTGGTAACATAACATCTTCCATTATATCTTTGTACACAAAGCAGTCCATAATTTTATTAATTTTGTGAATAGGACCAGTTCCTAGTAATGAGAAACATCCCCGAACCATAGCAGACGTTCCATACTTAACACTCTTCTTGGTATATTTAGTATTGTATCTGGTGTTCTTTGGTCTTCTTAGCGTCGCTTCCGAAAAGGTTATATTTAAATTCATCTCTAAAAAGTATGTTTTTCTACTGGTCTACAATTCAATTTTGGTGTGCTTTGGCAAACGCAAATCTTAACTTTCTTTTTTTAATAGAAGTGGTTTCTTGGCAGGCATTTGAGAAAACAATTTTGCTTCGTTAGCTCTTTGTCGCACACTGTGTTTGGAGATTTGTAGTTCAAACTTTTTGGTTAATTTTGTGGATGACAAAAATGGATCTTTTTTAAGCTCTTTAACAATTCTTCAATCTAGCTTTTGTAATGTTTTTTTTGGACGTTCGCCCTGATGGTTTGTTTTATAGCAGTCACGAGATCCAAATGATTTGACAGTTTTGCTTGCAGTCGATTTAGCTATATCATATTTTCTACAAATTTCAGCTTGACGTTTTCCGCTTTTAAAATCTTTAATAATATTTTGACGTAACTTCCAAGTTTGTCGTAAGCCATTTTACATTTTTTACGCGTAAACTTTTACGATTAATGTATCACGAGTTAAATATATTTTTAGTCTAATGGAAAAAATAATTGGTCAGACTTTCCAAAATCTATTTTATTATTTTAGAATAACTGTTATGATAAAAGTGAAAACAAAAGAATACAGTAAATCGAATAAAGACAATCAAATCTTATAAAAAAGCATCGTTTTGATTTGTCCACCTTGTTTTGTTCAAAGAAAAATGTTGTTTGTTGAGAAAAATGTGTTATAAATGTGTAATTTTTTTTTGTGATTCTTAGTACGATTCAAACGTTTTAAATTTTATTAAGAACATAATAAACTATTTAAAAATTAATATATACAATTGTTTTACTATTTTTTTTTAGCTTTTGATCAACTTTTGTTCTAAATTTGAGTTTGTCTACCATGTTTTGTCCACCATGTTCACCATGTTTTGTCCGATACTGTAGGTGTATAAAAAAAGACAGTATTGGATATGTGGTTAAAAATCTGTCCAAGAAAAATAGCAAGACACATTTATTTAAGAATAAAATTAAGAAAGCCAGTCTTTATGGTGAAAAACGAAGAAAAAAAGAATTCATTAAAAGTATTTTTTATTTGTTTATTTTCATTGAAATAGGACAATTAAATCCTTGTGATAAAGAACCTCTTATACCACCATACGATCAATCATCTGTTAATCTAAGTCTTATTTTTAAAACATTTATCAGTCATTTGAAAGACAGTCGTGCAGACCTTGGAAATTCAATTTTAAAGCGCAAAAGTTCCACCAAGAAAAAGAATCTGTCCTGATTCAGAAGAATCAGATGTTATACCAGTCAAAAATACCCTAAAAGCGTACTAGAAACAAAAAAAAAGACCTTATGAGTACATTTTAGTGTACGACCAGAGGGGAATAAAATTTAAATTTTTATTCAAAAGTTGAAATACATAGATATAATTAAAATTTCTACAGAATACGTTTTAACATTTTGGTAGAATTCTTAACCTCTTGATTGAGAAGAGAGTTGCAATTTTTTAAATCGGCTTGGGCAAAATAAAAAGATCTTAAACCCACCTTTAAAAATATTCACATGATGATAATAGAAAGTTTCGTTGATCCTTTTAAATAATTGCTGATTGTGAATTTTACAGGGTGCGCATAAATAAGTTATTTTATACCAAAAAATTTTTTGGGCTGCAATTGTAATTTTTTACAAAATTTCTTAGAAATCTCTTTACTTCCCGAAATTAAATACTTTTTTAATTTAAGAAACCGACCTCTTTTCTTCGAAATGGTAAATAAAAATTAGAAATAAGTGGTTTTCCTGAATCTCAAAGTTGAATTTGTTTAAACTGTTGATCTAGATCAACTCTCAAAGAAGAAGAGGATTGTTACTAATAATTAATCTTTATCAATGTTCTCAACATAAAATTTGTACAAACGTAATTAAATATTATAAAGTGTTTCATTTTTTATTATCGAAAATATTTATCACCGATAAAAACTTTTATAAATGCTTTGTTATTTAAATTTTTATAAATAACATTTTTATCAACAGGTCGATTAAATAAAAAATAATAATAATAATATGATAGTATGCCACCTGGTCGTAAATTGTTTCAAGACACCACCACAACCAAACAAAAAATTTAAAAATTAAGTTAAAATTTTAAATTAGAAATGTTTATTCATAAAAAATAAATAGAATAGCTTTTCCGGTAGTCCAGACAACGACTTTCAAAACATAAGAAGATCATCCTTTATATTAAATTTTTCTTGGTCAGTTTTGGTGTTGACGTTGAACCTAATGCATACAGGTAGAGCTCTTTTTAAATGTTTGACAGCCAGTATTTTTTTGAAATGACTTATTACCGGCTATGATTTATTACCGGCTTTCTTCTTTACAAATAAACTCGGATCAATTTGATCAATCGGAGTTTGTTTTGTGATAAAAAGTCTTTTAGCACGATCTTGAAGAGTTCCACCGCATTTCATTCCAAGAGCTTGAAGAGCAAACTTTAAACGATCTAATCCAAGCTCCTCTAACTCTTCAGCCGAACTGTACTTGCTTAAATCGATCGGCTAAACATAAATCGTAAAATATATTTTACTCTAATTGTTGACCTAATTAGGTAAAGCGTGTACACAAAATAAATGTGAAAGAATAAGTACGTCATTTTTTTTCAGTGGTTATATTAAAATCTTTTTGTTTTGTATTTTGTTTACAACGTGTTTCAAAAAAAAAAAAAAAATTTCAAAAAAATGTATTAGTTTTTTGATTACTTAAAATTAGTTTTAAAAATGACAAAAAAATTATACGAAAATATTTGGAAAATCCCAATAGTAGCTACAATTCGATAGCAAAAGCGTTGCAAATACATCCATACACCGTTAGTAGTGTAATCCAACGTTTGTCTCAAACAAAATCGATCAAACGTAAATCTGGTGGTGGAAGAAAGAAGGGTTTTAAGATATAAAACTAGTTAGAAAACTGGTTGAAAGTTTTAAGACTAACTCAAGCCTTTCACTAGAGGAACGCGCGCAAACATTTATGGACTTTCTCATAGTTTTGTAGTAAAAGTTCGAAAAAAACATAGTTTTCATTTTTTCAAAGCACAAAAAGTGCCTAACCGATCTGAAACTCAACAAAAAAGTGCAAAAACCCGCTGCAGAAAGTTGTATGACAATTTTATTTCTAAAAATTTCTGTATTATTGAAGACGATGAAACTTATATCAAGTACGATCATCAGCAAATTCCTGGTGCCGTCTATTATATTGCTAAATGTAGAGGAAAAGATAAGAAATTTAAATACATAAAACATGACAAGTTTGCTAAAAAAATATTGATTTGGCAAGCTATTTGCAGTGGTGGCAAAAAATCATGTATAAAATCAAATATATGTTAAAGAGTGTTTACAAAAACGCCTTTTACCTCTCATTAAATCACACGATAAGAGACCTGTGTTCTTGCCAGATTTAGCTTCAACTCATTATTGAAAACTAGTTTTGGAATGGTATAAAAATAATAATGTGAAATTTGTGCCTAAAACAGAATATCCTCCCAACTGCCCAGAATTAAGAGTTATTGAAAAGTACTGGGCCATTAATAAAAGAAAAATAAAAAAAACAAAAAAACTTTGCAGAAATATTAAAAATATTAAAATTGCCATTTAAAAAAGCATCAAATGGCATCAATTCTTATTCTGTGCACAAACCTATGGGTACCACCAAAGCAAAAGTTCGAAATTTTATTAGATTCCCACAGGAATAATATGATTTTTTTTTTTATATTTGATCTTCTTATATTATTGTACTAAAGTTATTACTTGGTTGGAAACTGAAGAGTACTTTTTTTTAGTTGATTTTCTACTTTCACATTTATTTTGTGTACACGCTTTAATATCAGTTAACATTTACACGGTTAACACGCTTTAATATCATAATATCAAATATTTAATATCTTACGACGTTTTAAACCAAAGTTTTGTTATAAGACCTCAGTAAATTTATTCACTAAGAAGTCATTGAATCTTTTTATAATGAATTAATTTCTGTATTTAACCGACTAAAGAAAGTGATTATTTTCGAGGGGACAAAAAATTTGATTAGAGTGGCTGTTGAACTGATTAGAACAAAATGCTTAATAAAATAACAAAATATTTAATAAAATAAAATTATGACAAACTAAATAACTATCCGACTTAAAATTTTGTTTGATTTTAGCCTGAAAAGGGTAAAGTCAAACAAAAGCTGTTTAACCACTTAATTATAAACTCTATAACATAATTTCAATTTCTATCAGTGATAACTACTTAAAATGAATAAAAACATTTTTAAGTTTATATTACTTTTTTTAATCGACACAAGTAAATCTTTTTTAATTGACACAAACAAATCTTTTTAATCAACACAAGTAAATCTTTTAAGGTATCAGAATATTAGGTAAATTTATCTTGATAATATTTACAAAACTATTTATATTTGTACTGTATTTACAATATTTACTTATGCAATTTTTTTTTAACTGATGACAAATAATACTATCAAGATAAAATATTATGTTAAATAACTTATTATTGCTCTGTTCTAAACATCAAGCACTCTATTTGTAGAAGACACTAAGTCACTAAAACTCAATCGCTTTTTTTTTTTTTTACTTTATTACATTTTAACAAAAGTTTTACTATTGGTGAGACAGGAACATGAGTTGTTAACTAAGTTTTACTTTCTCTTTTATACACACACACAGATATATATATATATATATATATATATATATATATATATATATATATATATATATATATATATATATATATATACATATATATATATATATATATATATATATATATATATATATATATATATATATATATATATATATATATATACATACACACATACACATAAAATGGAATTAATAATACAACTTGCGAAAAACCACGTTATAACTAGTTGCTATGAAAGTATTTTGTAGCACTCTTTATAAAACTTATAAATTTATTATATTCTATTAAATGTTTTATCTATTATTTTATTACTATATTTGATTTTGTTAAACATTTGCAATCACTTACTAATAAACTTGCTGGCACACTAATACCTCATGTAAATGTAAAAAGATACATAAAAAAAAATTATGATAAAATCATAAAAAACAATAGAATTAAAAAGTAAAACCTCTATGAAAAGATTTTTGTGAGATGAAACACGTAGATTTTCTGATGTTGGTTCAGGTATTGCTTTTAGATTATTTTCCTTTTTGTTTTTTATTTCATTTGTTGAACTGACTTCAATTACTTTAGAAGAAAGAGAATTTTCAATTACTTCTGGAGAAGATGTAGGCACCTCAAAGCTGTCATTTTTTTTCATAACTAAATTTTCATGATTGCTCATACCTGAATGTTCCATATCAATTTCTACATTCTTAGAATATGAACGCACTTCTGAGCTTTCATCATTTTTTAACATTAAATTCCCATTGTTGCATTCGCCTGAATGTTCCATAACACTTTCTACATTCTTAGTGTATGCAGGCACTTCAGAGGTTTCATCATTTCTCAAAACTAAATTTCCAGGGCTATGTTCACCAGGGCTGCTTTCATCTGAATGTTCCATATCACTTTCTTCATCACTAACACCAATCCTAAACATAAAAATGTATACAAACATTAAAACAAACTTAAATAACAAAATAAATAGTTTTAATTTAAAAAATATGTAAGTTTCCTGACTTTGAATACCATATTACAAATATTTATCACAGTAAAGTTGCTCACCACAAACAGCTCTTTTTATTACTGGGAGCATCATCTTCTTCAGAGACATGATTTGTTCGTGACTTCATTTTTTTTTTTTTAGAAAGTGCTTCAAAAATAAAGAAAATATATATTAAAACAGGATTTTTGCAAAATAACCAAAGAAAGTATCAAAAAATTGATATATAAAACAGCATTTAAAACAAAAATGATTTTCACACCACTTTAAAGAATAAAACAATTTAATGTTTCAGAAATCTCGAGTATGGAACAAACTTTTACAAAACCCTCAAATAGTGGACAAGGTAAACAACAAAAGTTAATATTTCTTTTTGTCTATATATATATATATATGTATATATATATATATATATATATATATATATATATATATATATATATATATATATATATATATATATATATATATATATATATATATATATATATATATATATATATATATATATATATATATATAGGCCTTGTTTTAAATAACAAATGCTTAACGCATCAGCTTAATGTGAATTTAACGTCAGAAAATTCTCTTTATCTTTTTATCTTTTAAAGACATTAACTTTTTCAAATTACTGCAATAATATTAAGATTACCGCAAAACGAGTTAAATATTGTTTAACTGATTTCTTTCATTTTTTTTTATATTAAATAATTAAATTTGATATTAAATTTAAAAAAAAAATTTTTTCGTAAAAAATAATTTTCCTCAACATTTGTATAAATGAATTAAAATATGTTAATTTAAAAAAACATTTTTTTTAATCATTAAAAAAAAAATTGTAACTAAAAAAGATTTTTTATTTTAAAAAAATTAGCAAGTAACATACAGTTGGACTAGCTCTAAAACCATTAGTGACCGGCCTCATAAAATTGTAACATCTTATTTACACTTGTTTTTTTAAGTATCTTTTATTAATTATAATAAAAAGGATGGATGACAGTTTTTTATATAATATAATAAACGGAGGAGGAGGAGGAGGGGGGTTATTATTAAGATATAATGGAATTATTAAGATATGATGGAATTTCAAGTATATATTATTAGGATATTATTAAGACATGATGGAACTTCAAGTGGGAAAAATACTTTTTTTTACTAAGTACAGTAACAGGCGGAAGCCGGCGGACCTCTACTTTTGATCAGTCCATATAAATGTTAACTCAGTATGTCTTCCATATAAATGTTAACTCAGTATGTCTTCCATATAAATGATTAACTCAGTATGTCTTCCATATAAATGTTAACTCAGTATGTCTTCCATATAAATGTTAACTCAGTATGTCTTCCATATAAATGTTAACTCAGTGTGTCTTCCATATAAATGTTAATTCAAATTAGAAAATTCAAATTATTTTATAATATCTTAAAAGATATTATAAATTAAATCTTATTAATTATACAAAAAAAAAAAAAAAAAACTATCAGTGAGCCCTACAGAAGTTTAGTTACCAATAACTGTAAGAAATTATAGTTTAAAGCAAAATTAAATTTTCTTGAATTTTTCTTAGATTTTTCTTTGGTAATACAAAATCTATTTCATTAATAATTTCTAATATTTATTATTTATCTTGTCCAAAAAAAAAATTATTACCCCCCTGCCTTCTAGGTTATTATATTTTTTACATAGTAATATAATAGACAATAATTACCAGCTTTAAAAGCTTCATCAACATTGCTTGCATTATCTTGAAGCTTTGTTGTATAGCCTTGGTCAACATAGTTGTAGACAGGGTTTAATAAACGCTTTAACTTTTCTTCACGAGCTTTTGCTCGTTCATCTTCTTTGTCTTGCTTTTTCTTCAACCATTCTCCTATTCTTAAAATAAAAATTTTTTAGTGTTGATATACCTTTATTAGTTTAATGTTGTTTTCTAAACATCAAACAATTTAATAACTGTGTAATATTTAAATAGAACACATTAGCTATACACTCAGAGTTGTTAACAAGGCCACATGTTACAAGGCCAAGGCCAAGACCAAGGCCAAAAGTTACAAGGCCAAGGACAAGGCCAAGGCCACATGTTACAAGGCCAAGGCCAAGAATAAGAGTTTCAAGGCCAGCTTACGCAAACATTTTTAAGACCAAAAACTTAAATTTTTGCTTTATGTTAATAAATAATTAATTACGTAAAAATGTGTGGATTTCCTAAGTGAAAAGTTTTTACAACTTTTACTAACATGCTAGACCAAAATAAAAATCAGAAGCATTTGGGCTGGTTAACACAAGTGAGTATGCATTTTTAAATTATAACAATAATGTTGTTGGCTGTGTTTAAAGTGATCTGCTTCATTGTGCCAGTACTACAAAGCTTCTACTAAAGCACTACAAAGAAAAGAAACAAGTTTCAGCAACATTCCAACTGATGCCACATTAATTTCAGCAACATTGCAACTATCAGTAGCCAATTTATTTTAATAAGTTTCAGCAACATTGCAATATAAGTTTCAGCAATATTGCAACGATCAGTAGTCAATTTATTTTTATCTGCAAATAATGGCATGTGCCATTGTTAGCAGATAAAAAATTTTAAGAAATGTAATTTTATATGCATACTTAATTATTATTTTTATACCTAAGCTTTTATTTTTTTATAAGTTTTATCTACAAAGAAACCCACATAGTTATTGTCAATCACTTTAAACTTACAACAGATTGGTTATCATGTTTTGAGAAGTGTTATGCCATTTTTAAAACAAATATTTAATAAATTTTCTAGAGTATTTATAATTTTATGGTGGTACAATGTATAAAATTAGTTGAAAATAAATAAAACTCACTGCTTTTCATTATTAACATCTCTCATCCTTCGACCACTCAGATCTCGACATGCTTCATGATTTGTAGTTTTTTCAATTCGCGCTCCAATTGCTCTTAACATGGATCCAAATCCACCCTTGCCACCGGGCACACGAATATAAGCATTCACATAGGAATCGCAAATTATTTCATCAGTAAAATTGAGAACTTTTCGATTGGACACCAAATAAAAGTTACTAGTGGGTATACCCTATTAAAAACAAAATTTTTTTACAGAATAATCTTTACATGAGGTCATGTTGAGGACTAAAACTATTCAAAAAAATGTTGCTATAATTAACAAGATTTTAATTATAGCAAAATTATTTGAAAAAAATTTGGTTGCCTGACTATACTAAGTGCCTCACATAAAGCCATTTACTATGCAAATGTGTTTCAGATATCTTTAATTTAATAATTTAACCAGTTGCATTAACCAGTTTTAGCTTAATCAGCAATTTTTTTTACTTATAAATTCACATAAAATGAATCTCAATAAATATAATTCAAAACTAAATTTTTCCTGAAAGATAAAAATAGTCATTTTAAATAGATAAAAAAAATTCTAACAAATACATAGCTGTTGGTGGATTGGACCCTAAACCATAGTAAATAAAAAACATTTTATGATGTTTACATCAAGAATCCAAAAGGTTGAAGAGATCTAAATTCACAACCTAAACATAACTAGTGTGGGTCTTAGTAAAACAAAAAAATTCTTACGCAATTCTTAGTCCAAATTTAATTTTCCCGACCACTCCCTGGTATATTGCACAGCAACCTTGTTTGCCAAAGTTTGAGTTTTGGAGTTAAAGAGTGAAGAGAGGGTTGTAACCACAATAAAGTGGTCTCCTCGACTATACTTTTGGCCTTGGGTAAATGAATAACATAAAAAATAATAAGTAAGACCAGTCAAAAATTGGTTTAAAGAAAAGTAGATTCTTTAATGCAAAAGTTTGTGTACAAAGTAAAAACTTTTTCTTAAACCTTAGGACTATTGTTACTGTTATTGTAAAAATTAAATACAATAACAATTACAAAACAATAATATTGTATTGCAATACCAGAGATGCGATTAAAACATTATTTATGGTTATTGTATTGCTGTGAATAAAAACAGTTACATTAACTATTGTATTGTATCGCTGTGATGTAATACAATTACATTAACTATTGTATTGTATTGCTGTGATGTAAAACAATTACATTAACTATTGTATTGTATTGCTGTGATGTAAAACAATTACATTAACTTTTGTATTGTATTGCTGTGATGTAAAACAATTACATTAACTATTGTATTGTATTGCTGTGATTTAATACAATTACATTAACTATTGTATTGTATTGCTGTGATGTAAAACAATTACATTAACTATTGTATTGAATTGCTGTGATGTAAAACAATTACACTAACTATTGTATTGTATTGCTGTGATGTAAAATAATTACATTAACTATTGTATTGTATTGCTGTGATGTAAAACAATTACAATAACTATTGTATTGTATTGCTGGGATAAAAAAAATTACATTGATGTATTGTATTACATTTCAAAGTCTAACAGCTATTGTATTTTATAGTATTTAGACTTAATTTTCACGCATTTATTATTATTTGTGCATTAGATAATTTAGGGGTGCCTGTGACGCTCGTTTTCAGCAGTCATTTATATATATAAATTTTATTTATTTTCAGAAGTGAAGGGAAGCCAGGGAAGCCAAAGAAGTATATATACTACGTATACTTAATAAATAGGTATACTTAAGGGGCGCACGTGGCACCCATTTCTAGCAACCATTTACATATATAAATTTTTTTTATTTTGAGTTCAATAATATAACTGTTTAAATAATAATTTATTTAGAATTAACATTAACAATATTCATTTAAAATCATACAAATATATAATTTATCATATGCTTGTAATTAAATAATTATTTACTTTAAAAAGTTAAATTATATATTTTTTTATAATTTTGTCTAAACTAATATTGACATGTTTCACAGGATGATGACGTCTAAACTAATTAATTAACTACTTAAGCGCTTTTTTTTTCAATATATCTAACCCCTAATGTGTAATCAATTACATCGTTATGGAATCAAAGAACCTTTGACCTGGGTAATTATCGATTAGATAGTATAAAAATGTGAACTACTTTTGTTTTGTTAAAAAATTTTTTTACATATTTTTAGATTGGTCATCACCTATCAGACCGTACCAGTAAATTTTGTGTGGATCATTTTTGAAAAATGAGGCAGTTTAGAACACCAAATAAATATTGTTCTTGATTTATGTAACAAAACTCTTTTATAACTTTGCAATTAGATGTGTGAGTTGAGTAAGTTTCGAAACAATTGGATAGGTACCTAATGTAAAAGCAAATAATTTAGTGGAAGAAATGGTAGTAGTTAATCATGTCTATCCCCAGCAGTAAAAAAAATAAAGGTTCGATTAAACTCACTTTTATAGAGCTATACAAAGTTTATAAAATAAAAAGAAACAGAATCAATACTTATATATTAGTTGCACCCTATTTCAAGGTCACTTATCTCAGAGACTGGACTGTTAAAACATTTATTAAATTTTGACTCTAAAATAATTTTTTTTATTACAATAACAATATATTGTTATTGTATTGTAAAGACGAGTTACAATACAATATTTATTGTTATTGTAATGGGTCATTACAATACATTTTTTTTTCAGATATTAATATTGTTTCATAAAGATGATTTGCAATAAAATATTTATTGTTATTGTATTACATTATTACAATAGTTGTAAATCAAAAGTATTGTTATTGTTTCTAAATTAAGATAGTACAATAACAATAGTTATTGTTACTGTTATTGTTTTCATTACAATAACAATAGTCCTAACCCTAGGAAGATGCTTCCCCATTCTCCAGACATTTTCTACAGTTTTAATTCCAGATAATCACATATGTTAGCAAAAATGTTAGTTTTTTATCTAAAAATTTTAGAGCAAAAATTTAGTTATGTAACTAAAAATAACAGTACTGGTCCTCTAGTCTAAAGGAGAAAAACATGTGATTAAAAAAAATCAACCTGTGAGTGAATGGAAAAAGCATTATGCTAACTGCAAACAATCTTTTAAAAAGAACCTTTCCAGCTTGTTGATTTTTTTTCAAAAGATATTTGGTTTGATTAAAGTGTTTATCTTAGATAATTTGATTCAAATAAGTATTGTTAAAGTTAAATTAAATTTTATTGTTTAGGATTTTCATTTTTTAATATATTAGATAAAACAATTTTTTTTTTAAATTTCAATAACTTGCTAACTAGTTACTATTAATGGAATCTTTTTAAAACTATGAAAAGTTGTTAGAAAATAAATGTTAGTTTAACAAAGAGAAGTAAATACTGCTGCAGGTTGTTAAAAAGTCTGAGTTACAAAAAAGCTGAAAGGTTTTTTTTTGTTTATATCTGATAACTAATTTATTTTAGTAAGTTTAGGAGCCATCCATAAAAGACATCATCCAAATAAGGGGGAAGGAGGTCGAGTTAAAAAGAACAAAAAAGGACAAGAGGAGGGGGGGAGGTATTGCAATGTGTACCTGTCCAAGGAAAAAAAAGAATAGAAATAGAAGATGAACCTGCTTCAACAGATAACTGGAAACAAAATTTTATGTCTATTAGTAATACTGCTGAAACTTTTTGAGATTTGATATTTCACCAGCTGCAACATCAGCAGTAGTTTCAGGTTTTCTTTAAGACCTTATTCCTGGTAACTTTTAACACCTGAAAATGTCCTATTTGGCTGTAGATCCTAAGAAAATTGTTAGAGCTAGGAAAACAGTAATGACTAAAGCAAAGACATCTGAAGAAATGAAATTTCAATTACAACCTATCAAAGGTATATTTGTTGATGGCAGAAAATATTTTACCAGAGTTTTAAAGCACAACCCTGTAACAAAATGATTTCATCAAAGGGTTGTGAAAAAAGAACACATTAGTGTTACTTCTGAACCTGACGGTCACTATATTACACATTTTACACCAATGATGGCAATACCTCCCAAGAAGCCTGCTAAACAAGCAGTTATTGGACTATTCAACTGGATGGTTCCTCGGGGAGTACAAGTGCTAAGAAAATTTCACTTAATTTTAAAATGGGTAGTTCAAGTGTATTTTCACATATGGATCAAAGTGAAAAACAGTATTGTTGAGGCCATATCCATAGCTATATCCATACAAAAACTGATCCACCTGGACAAGGTAAATCAGAACACGTATTTACTTGTCAAATACTTACAAAAGATCTTGACAATTTCTTAGAGATACCTTTTGAAGCACCTTACTTTCCCCTACACATGCAGTCTTGTGAAAGAGCAGTAAAAGAGGTGACATCTGAGGTGAAGAGAAAGATTTGTGACGTCATACAAAAAGTCCTTTCAAACTCGAGTTTAAATATTGTTTGGGTTTTCCCTTTGCCGTTAAGTTTTATGCAGTAGAATTTTTTTTTTTTAAATGAACCAAACTTTAAACTGATTAAAAATAACGCAATCAATCAATAAACTCTTCAAAAGCCCAACTTATATTTATTTTGTTTTAAAAACAAAACTATTACTAGTGCTATAGATATAAGATACGAAAATTTTAAAATTTGTTACAAACAAGTTCTGCTAATAACATCGTATAACGGAAAATACTATTTTTCTTTTTGGATTTAGTAAGAAATAGTAAAAATACTTTAGGTTTCAAGGTTACATAAAAATAAAATATTTTAATGGAAATAAAAAAAAACAAAGCCGAAAAGTGATAATCTTCATTTAATTACAACTTTTAATTTAATCAAAAGCCAGTTAACGCAAAGGTTTTTTAAAAAGGGAAAAACCTAATCTAACTGAGTAGAAGTACACTTAAATCCCTTTAAGAAAATCAACCATAAACAAGTGTCCACTCATTTAAAAAAAATAACCGTAAAAATCATGTTTTAAAGAAAAAAAATTAAGTTTAAAATTTAAACTGTAAATAAGTATAAGATTTTAAAACAAGGAAATTATTTTTTAATCAACTTTTTTTTATAACAATATTATTCAATTTATTTTATATATATATATATATATATATATATATATATATATATATATATATATATATATATATATATATATATATATATATATATATATATATATATAATATATATATATATATATATATATATATATATATATATA